CAGGGACATGGCACGGAACCAGGAGCGCAGCACCTGCAGCTCACCTGGGTGGGAACGCAGCGGGGTCAGCCCCGGCCCCCCGGGGACACCCTAGGGACCCCCCATGACCCCCTGACCCCCCCGCAGGTGGCGGCGCAGCAGAAGGAGTCGGAGTCGACGCAGAAGGCGGAGAAGGAGGTGTCGCGCATGGTGGTGGTGATGATCCTGGCCTACTGCTTCTGCTGGGGGCCCTACACCATCTTCGCCTGCTTCGCCGCCGCCAACCCCGGCTACGCCTTCCACCCGCTCACCGCCGCCCTGCCCGCCTTCTTCGCCAAGAGCGCCACCATCTACAACCCCATCATCTACGTCTTCATGAACAGACAGGTGAGGGGCTCACCTGGGCACACCTGGGACACCTGGGGACACCTGGGGACAGCTGGGGACAGCTCAGGGTATGGAGACACAGCTCAGGGTATGGGGTTATGGGCTATGGGCCACCATCTACAACCCCATCATCTACGTTTTCATGAACAGACAGGTGAGGGGCTCACCTGGGGACACCTGGGCACACCTGGGGACAGCTGGGGACACCTGGGACACCTGGGGACAGCTGGGGACACCTGGGGACAGCTCAGGGTATGGGGTTATGGGTTATGGGTCACCATCTACAACCCCATCATCTACGTCTTCATGAACAGACAGGTGAGGGGCTCACCTGGGGACACCTGGGGGCACGTGAGACACACCTGGGGACAGCTGGGGACAGCTCAGGGTATGGGGTTATGGGCTATGGGTCACCATCTACAACCCCATCATCTACGTCTTCATGAACAGACAGGTGAGGGACACACCTGGGCACACCTGGGGACAGCTGGGGACAGCTGGGGACACGTGAGACACACCTGGGGACACCTGGGGACAGCTCAGGGTATGGGGTTATGGGTTATGGGTCACCATCTACAACCCCATCATCTACGTCTTCATGAACAGACAGGTGAGGGGCTCACCTGGGGACACCTGGGCACACCTGGGCACACCTGGGGACACCTGGGGACACCTGGGTACACATGGGGGCACCTGGAGAGAGCCAGGATAGAGCAGGGACAGGTGACACAGGTGACACAGAACAGGGACAGGTGACACAGGTGACACAGAACAGGGACAGGTGACACAGAACGGGAACAGGTGACACGGAGCAGCTGCCACCACCAGCTCCACCTGTCCCCCCGGTGTCACCCACCCGGTGTCACCTGCGCGGGACCCCCGATGTGGGGCTCTGGCTGACCCGGTGTCCCCCTGTCTGTCCCCTCTGTCCCCTGTCTGTCTGTCCCTGTCCGGTGTCTGTCTGTCCGTGTTTCCCCTGTCCGTGTGTCCGGTGCCCGTGTCTCCCTGTCCCCTCTGTTCTGCGTCCGTCTGTCCGGTGTCCGTCTGTCCCTGTCCCCCTGTCTGTCCGGTGTCCGTGTGTCCATGTGTCCGTCTGTCCATGTGTCCATGTGTCCGTGTGTCTGGTGTCCGTCTGTCCGTGTGTTCCCCTGTCCGGTGTCCCCTGTCCGTGTGTCCGTGTGTCCGGTGTGTCCGGTGTGTCCGTGTGTCCCCTGTCCATCTGTCCGTCTGTCCCCTGTCCATCTGTCCGTGTGTCTCCTGTCCATCTGTCCGTCTGTCCCCTGTCCGTGTGTCCGGTGTCCATCTGTCCGTGTGTCCCCTGTCCATCTGTCCGTGTGTCCGTGTGTCCCCTGTCCATCTGTCCGGTGTCCCCTGTCCATCTGTCCCTCTGTCCCCTGTCCATCTGTCCGTCTGTCCGTCTGTCCGGTGTCCGTGTGTCCGGTGTCCATCTGTCCGTGTGTCCCCTGTCCACGTGTCCGTGTGTCCGTGTGTCCGTGTGTCCGTCTGTCCCCTGTCCGTCTGTCCGTGTGTCCATCTGTCCATGTGTCTGTGTGTCCGTGTGTCCCCTGTCCGTGTGTCCCCTGTCCATCTGTCCGTGTGTCCGGTGTCCATCTGTCCGTCTGTCCGGTGTCCGTGTGTCCCCTGTCCATCTGTCCGTCTGTCCGCCTGTCCCCTGTCCGTGTGTCCGGTGTCCCCGCAGTTCCGGAACTGCATCCTGCAGCTCTTTGGCAAGAAGGTGGACGATGGCTCCGAGGTCTCCACCTCGCGCACCGAGGTCTCCTCGGTCTCCAACTCCTCCGTGTCCCCCGCCTAGGGACCCCCGCCGCCCCCTCCCCAATAAAGCTTTGTACCTCCCGGACACGTGTCCTGCGCGCTGCCACCGCGGCCCCGGGGGTCCCCAACGGTCCTGGGGGTCCCCAATGGCCCCTCCCCGGGGGTCCCCAACGGTCCTGGGGGTCCCCAACGGTCCTGGGGGTCCCCAATGGCCCCTCCCCGCGGGTCCCAAAAGGTCCTGGGGGTCCCCAATC